CTTTATATCACAATTGTCATACAATGGTTCAATAATAAATTCCCATGCTACGATCCATGTTATTGATTGAGTTGCAATGAAGGAGATTAATCTATATCCTTGCTCGAATGATGTCTTTTGTCGAAAGTACTCATAAACTTCTAATACTTTTGGAGGAAAGATAGAAGGAAGGGGTCCTAAGTGGGAAAACCACTTGATGAACCATTTGGGAAATTTTAGAGAAATACCTTTTTTGAACCAAATAAACCATGAATGATTATCTGGGTATACATATAGGGCATTGTACCAGGCATCTATATAGTCATAATAATCATATGTTTGGGGATGGAAAGTCCTAGAAAAGGATTTAGAATGATATGGAGAATTATTCCATTCTTCTGCAGAAAGAATTTTTAGGATTTTTAATTTAGAATATAAAATAATATTCTGGTCATTCCTTTTATGAATTATCTCAGCAGAATCTGTGTCTACTAAAATAAATTCATAAAAAGTACGGTCTTTGTTGATACTAGAGGGTAGATAATAGAATTCTTTTGGAAAGAGATATTGGGCAGTAAATTTAGCATTTTGTTTGATCCAAGGTTTTTCAAGAGTAATAATGGGTAAGGTTTCTGGTTTAATACTATATTGATCTTGGCTATTTTCTGGATGAGAAATAGTTGAAGTATTCTGAATAGGTTTTGAAGAAGAGGAAGCAATTAAGTCTTTAGGACTGATAAGAGTATTAGAATAATGAAGTGGGGTAAAGCGATTAGTGGTATGAACAAGTGGACTTTTTAATATTGACGGGGGTGTTTTTAATATTTCTGCCAAGGTGGCCTTGGCTTGTGGACAAGAAGGTTTTAATAATATTGGCGTACCTGAAGATGAAGGTCCCAGTGGGGGACCATATTGATCTTTACTGAGAAACCAGTTGTTAACCTCCTTTCGTTTGAAAGTTTGAGGAATTCTGGTCTAACAACGCCACGTACAAATCTGGAAAATTTGTAAACCATTTGCATATCATCATGAATAACCAAAATGAAGAGTTTATTCCTATGGCAGGGGCACTCCCAGGTCTAGGATTCATAGTTAGACCTTTAAATCCCCCAGGTATAAGCCCAAGCTCTAGTCCAAATCCAGCCATAGAATTAACCAAACAAATCAAAAATCTTAAACGAAAATTAAAAAGGCATATAGCTCAGAAAGATAGATTATTAAGAGAAAATCCAAACAATTATGCTTGGTGCATAGTTTGGTACAAGAGTAATATTAAATATCTTGAAGGAAAATTGAAGGGACTAGGTCATTTTGTTGCCTAGTTTGAACTATTAGGTGTTTAGATTTGGATCTTAACCCTAAATCCTTAAGTTTTAAGGGTCTTTGGGACTCTTAACTTAATCAAAGGAATCCGTGTAGCACTGAGAGGTGCTTATACGTTGGTCAACCCTTAGATTTAGTGGTCCCGGCAGTAAAGCCCAGAAGGGGTAGTGAGTCCGTTGGTCAGCTAGATAGGCCAAGAGGCAAAGAGGTGGTCCCGTAGCATGGAAACCAGAGAGAGAGTTAGGATGCCAAATATTCTTAGATCTTTAAGTGATTTA